AACAAAGCACTGCAGCGTGTGATATTGCTACGCTTTCGGCTGGAAACGAAATAGCCCTGGGGCGCGTCAGTAAATGAGGATATAATACATGTGTTTTGCTTTGAATGAAAAAAAGAAGGCATATTTATAACAGAATATTTCTCAAAGATGACATACAAAACCAACGTGCTATTTAGCAAAGGACTGAATGAACACGATTTGTTCATCTAATCGAACACACCTAGTACTAGCTAGAAAAATGAGTTTCTGGGAAGAGCTTGTCTATAAATAACCTGACACGCATTAAGTCGATACTTATTGATAGGGGGCTTTTCGTGGTATTTAATCCACAAAATATAACATAAGTTAGTCACAAACTACGTGTACATTATGAGACATTATCCCACAGAGGTGGAACTAGTATGTTCAGTCAGTTCCACGTCAGGTTTGCATACAGCGAGTAGATCACCATATATGATGGTGGCCGTTCTCGGAATTCGTAACTTCTACTTTGAATTCTAAGAATAAAGATAGATTAATTTCTTGGTAATACTGATAAAGGCGTTTCTAGGAAGGGTTTTGAATTGATTATGGTTTCCATTTCTCTGGATATAGACAGGAGTTATGTGGGGACTATGCTCGTGTTCACTAACCGGGACTGACATGTATGTAGCACACATTTACTGCTCCAGAATATATATCTCGTCCCACACTGCACATTATATATGTGTGGTGACGTAAGCGAGATATGTACATTCATGATTATATTAATCTGTCTGTCATCGTGACACTTGTAATGTATTAGGTATACGCATGTACATTTATTCAACAAAATAGTTTTATATGTTCGTTGTCAAGTAGATCCAGATACTGTGAGGTCACACTATTATTATATTTTACTATTTTAGGCGCCGGTTTTCCTTTTTAACGAATGTAAAATGTCTATTGTCGTATATCTATAGCACATTATGTTTGTATCTGCGAAAGATTAAATTTGTGTTTAAACGTGTTTACCAAAGGACGACACTCACTGGTTAGTCTAGTCACTAACACAGGGTTACGACCCAAGCCTTCATAGAAGTCCGATATGCTGATTTCGCATCGATCTTTACTAGCTCCAACAGAGTGCAGATTTACAAAATATCGTTCTATTTTTTGGTAGCACCTTTTCGCCAAACAATTAACACGGTCAAACCTTTCTCTTCTTTTAAGAGCTATGAGTTTCAAACACGAACAGGTCCGTGTTTATAAATAGTACAACGGCCGGGGCCGGAAACGGGATCACTACTTCAATGCGAAAAAATCTTTATGCTAAAAACTTAATTATCATATATGAAGTGAAGTGAATTGTTTATAAAATATTATTGTAATGCAAGATTAGTTATTTTTAACCTACTACAGAATAATTCCAAAATCGCGTGTCCCAGTGTGTGTGTTCCCAAGTGTCTTCTGTTCCCATGTGTGTGTTCTGTGTCCCGATATGTGTTGCCAAGTGTCTTCGGTTCCTTTGTGATGTGTTCTGTGTCCAGGTGTGTGTGTGTGTTCCCGAGTGTCTTCTGTTCCCTTGTGTGTGTTCTGTGTGTTCCCAAGTGTATTCTGGTCCCTTGTTTGTGTTCTATGTCCCGGTGTGTGTGTTCCCAAAGGTACTCTGTTCCCTTTTGTGTATTCCGTGTGTCTCGGTGTGTGTGTTCCCAGGTGTATTCTGTTCCCTTGTGTGTGTTCTGTCCTTTGAGAACTCGTAATGATTAAATTTCATCATATTTGGGATTTTGCAACACTCGCCTCGTGGTCACACATGTAACACATACTACATGCCTAAAGACACTTAAAGTGCAGGTGAATCCCCTTCCACACACTGACACATATTCTCACACAGTATATCTTGTGCGCTGTTCCTTGAAATTTTCAACTTACGGAAGACACGTATTTTCCTCGTCACAGGTTGGTCTCATTGTCGCGAGATTGCGACATCTTTACCAAATTGGCGATCTCGCGTTCTCGTGCTTTTGTGTCAATTGCCTTTACAGTTATGTGCAATTTTTTTCTAAAACGCGAGAACGCGAGATTGCGACACCAATGTCGCGATCTCGCGTTCTCGTGCTTTTGAGCCCTTTGCCTAGTGTACAGTCATAGGCAACTATTTTCAAAAATGCGAGAACGCGAGATTGAGACACTTGACCAATGTCGCGATCATTGCTAACTGTGAATATTGACCTTATGCTAATTTATTGCACCCGAACACGTGACTCTCATGATGCCAAGACTGAATGAAGGCTGTAGAAACAGAGACATTGGACGTCTGGAAGCTGGAGAAAGTCAGACATAAGTAGCCAGGCACTTTAACGTGAGGCAGAGTACCATTTCTCGTCTGTGGCAGCACTACAGACTCCACAACTCTACAAGCGATCGACCGAGAAGTGGTAGACCCGGGGTAACAACTGCGGCGCAGGACCGCTTCATCCGGGTGTTGCGTCTTCGCAACCGGACAATCAGTGCAGCATACACAGCTAACAATGTTCCTGGTCTTCGTAGAGTCTCAGCGCAAACCATCAGAAATCGTCTAAGACAGCATGGGATACGGCCAATGAGACCATATACAGCATCCGTTCTGCGGCAACATCATCGTTGTGCACGTCTGCAATGGATCAGAAATGTTCGACCATGGACCCTAGTGCACTGGAGAAGAATATGGTTCAGTGATGAGTCGCGGTTTATGCTGTATCACCATGATGGTAAGATGCGTGTCTACAGACGGAGAAAAGAACGCCAGACTCGACACTATATACATGAAGTCGACCGATTCGGCGGTGGAAGTGTCATGATGTGGGCAGGCATATCCGTGAATGGTAGGACAGATCTGGTGCACGTGCAGGGAAATTTAACTGCTGTACACTACCGTGATGAAATCCTTGAACGTCACCTTTATTCCCGCCATTGACGTCAGAAGAGAGATTTTCCAGCAAGACAACGCAAGACCGCATACTGCACGTGTTACCATGGATTATCTTGCCCACAACAATGTTACTGTGCTGCCATGGCCCACCAAATCGCCTGATCTAAACCCTATTGAACATTTGTGGGAGCTGGACAGACGTGTACCTGAGACGCTTCGACAGCTGAGAGAATCCACATTAGTATTAATTACATTTGTTCTACCTTGATTGCATTAAGGATTATTGTTGAACTGTGAGACAAGGATTTTGTGATACAGTTGCTGGAACCTGAAATATAGAGAGAGAATGAGAGGGAGAGAATAATGTTTATTTTTGCGTCACATGTTATATACACTTCATACTAAAACACGTACACAAACAATAAAATATAACATCCGACCAGGTATGGCCAACGAGACACTAGACATAAAAGCATATGCATAACGTCATGATCTGGATAAGGTAAATTAGGACATATACTAACACAATGTTTAAAGTTAAGGTTGGGTTATGAACACACACGCGCACACACACGCCAAATTACTTATATAGCCACGCACGCAATCATACACAAACACGTAGACACACACACACAAACCCGTAGACACACACACACACACACCAATATATCTCTATTTGTACGGAAATGGGTGGTGTTTGACGTGCAGTCATGCGTCCCTTCGGTTCTACAAGGGTTTCACGAAAATAACTTGAAAGTCACTTGACTTCTTTCCACAACAACACACGGTGATATTATCCGAAACGCATTTGCAGCTGTATTGCAACCAATTACCTCTCTCGTGTGCAGTATCGGTTATATAAAATCAAATTCCATTTAAGATGCATGTGCAAACATGTCCCATGTTTTGACTTCCAAAAAATGATTGTATGTCTGAGTGGAAATGAGATCCCATAGGATTCAAGGAGGGTATTTGAATTAACCAATCAGACTTGTGCTTCGTACTCAACCAGATAAACCGCCTAGTGTGTGTTCGATTGGATTCAATAAACGTGGTTGAATGAACAGTCGTCGTGTTGGTGGGTGTCTAGATATCTGTGTCCACATAACATTAACTGACTGTCTCTATTTGCAGAAGGAAAATAAAGCAGAAACACTTTTTTTAATATAGTTTAATTATTTGATAACGAAACAAATATCCCAAAAAAACATTCATTATTTATTAATTGAGACCAGGTGTGAACATATCGAGTGTCAAAGAAGGAGGAAGGCAAAACGAATAATCGAAATATTTAATAAAAGTGACGCCACGCAAATACTGCCAAAGGAGGGATTATACTAATCGCGCCCCATGAAGATCCAAATTAGCATTGGTCTTCAGCAACCCATACTTGTTGTAAGAGGCGACTAACGGGATCGGGTGGTCAGACACACCGACTTGGATTGATGCATGTCATCGTATCCTAAATGCGTAGATCGATACTCTTGATGTCAATCACTGGATAGTCTGGTCCAGAATAGAATATTTTCAGGCTGCCGTCCTAAAGCTGGAATATTGCTGATTGTTTTTTGTTTAGAAAAAACAAACAAACAAACAAAGCACTGCAGCGCGTGATATTGCTACGCTTTCGGCTGGAAACGAAATAGTCCTGGGGCGCGTCAGTTAATGAGGATATAATACATGTGTTTTGCTTTGAATGAAAAAAAAGAAGGCATATTTACAACTAAATATTCCTCAAAGATGATATACAAAACCAACGTACTATTTAGCAAAGGCCTGAATGAACACGATTAGTTCATCTAATCGAACACACCTAGTACTAGAAAAATGAGTTTCTGGGAAGAGCTTGTCTATAAATAACCTGACACGCATTATGTCGATACTTATTGATAGGGAGCTTTTCGTGGTATTTTATCCACAAAATATAACATAAGTTAGTCACAAACTACGTGTAAATTATGAGACATTATCCCACAGAGGTGGAACTGGTATGTTCAGTCAGTTCCACGTCAGGTTTGCATACAGCGAGTAGATCACCATTTATGATGGTGGCCGTTCTCGGAATTCGTAACTTCTACTTTGAATTCTAAGAATAAAGATAGATTAATTTCTTGGTAAAACTGATAAAGGCGTTTCTAGGAAGGGTTTTGAATTGATTATGGTTTCCATTTCTCTGGATATAGACAGGAGTTATGTGGGGACTATGCTCGTGTTCACTAGCGGGTTTGACATGTATGTAGCACACATTTACTGCTCCAGAATATATATCTCGTCTCACACTGCACATTATATATGTGTGGTGACGTAAGCGAGATATGTACATTCATGACTATATTAATCTGTATGTCATCGTGGGAGTTGTACTGCATTAGGTAGACGCATGTACATTTATTCAACAAAATAGTTTTATAAGTACGTTGTCAAGTGGATCCGGATACTGTGAGGTCACACTATTATTATATTTTACTTTTGGCGCCGGTTTTCCTTTTTAACGAATACAAATTCCATTGTCGTATATCTATAGCACATTATGTTTGTATCTGCGAGGGGCGGTCGGGTAGCCTAGTGGATAAAGCGTTCGCTCGTCACGCTGAAGACCCGGGTTCGATTCCCGACATGGGTACAATGTGTGATATTGCTGGAATATTGCTAAAAGCGGCGTAAACCCACACTCACTCACTCACTCACTCACTCACTCATTGTATCGAAATATTAAATTTGTGTTTAAACGTGTTTACCGAAGGACGACACTCACTGGTTACTCTAGTCACTGACACAGGGTTACGACTCAAGCCTTCATAGAATATGCTGATTTTGCATCGATCTTTACCAGCTCTAACAGAGTGCAAATTAACAAAATATCGTCGTATTTTTTGGTAGCCCCTTTCCGCTAAACCATTAACACGGTCAAACATTTCTCTCCTTTTAAGAGCTATGAGTTTCAAACACGAACAGGCCCAGTTTACTGCAGCGTTGTCCGTGTCTATAAATAGGAACAACGGCCCGGGCCGGAAACGACCACTACGTCAATGGGAAAAAATCTTTTTACAGAAAACTTAATATATGAAGTGAAGTGATTTGTTGATAAAATTTTATTGTAATGCAAGTTAATTTTAACCTACTACAGAATAATTCCAAAATCGCGTGTCCCAGTGTGTGTGTTCCCAAGTGTCTTCTGTTCCCATGTGTGTGTTCTGTGTCCCGGTGTGTGTTCCCAAGTGTCTTCGGTTCCTTTGTGATGTTCTGTGTCCAGGTGTGTGTGTTCCCGAGTGTCTTCTGTTCCCTTGTGTGCGTTCTGTGTTCCCACGTGTACTACTCTGTTTCCGTGTGTGTGTTCTGTGTGTTCCCAAGTGTACTCTGTTTCCTTGTGTGTGTTCTGTGTTCCTAAGTGTATTCTGTTTCCGTGTGTGTGTTCTGTGTGTTCCCAAGTGTACTCTGTTTCCTTGTGAGTGTTCTGTGTGTTCCCAAGTGTATTCTGTTTCCTTGTGTGTGTTCCCAAGTGTACTCTGTTTCCTTGTGTGTGTTCCCAAGTGTACTCTGTTTCCGTGTGAGTGATCTGTGTGTTCCCAAGTGTACTCTGTTTCCTTGTGAGTGTTCTGTGTGTTCCCAAGTGTATTCTGTTTCCTTGTGTGTGTTCCCAAGTGTACTCTGTTTCCTTGTGTGTGTTCCCAAGTGTACTCTGTTTCCGTGTGAGTGATCTTTGTGTTCCCAAGTGTATTCTGTTTCCGTGTGTGTGTTCTGTGTGTTCCCAAGTGTATTCTGTTTCCTTGTGTGGTTTCCCAAGTGTACTCTGTTTCCTTGTGTGTGTTCCCAAGTGTACTCTGTTTCCTTGTGTGTGTTCCCAAGTGTACTCTGTTTCCGTGTGTGTGTTCTGTGTGTTCCCAAGTGTACTCTGTTTCCGTGTGTGTGTTCCCAAGTGTATTCTGTTTCCTTGTTTGTGTTCTGTGTGTTCCCAAGTGTACTCTGTTTCCGTGTGAGTGTTATGTGTGTTCCCAAGTGTACTCTGTTTCCTTGTGTGTGTTCCCAAGTGTATTCGGTTCCCTTGTTTGTGTTCTGTGTGTTCCCAAGTGTATTCTGTTTCCTTGTGAGTGTTCTGTGTGTTCCAAAGTGTATTCTGTTTCCTTGTGTGTGTTCCCAAGTGTATTCTGTTCCCTTTTTTGTGTTCTGTGTGTTCCAAAGTGTATTCTGTTCCCTTGTGTGTGTGTTCCCAAGTGTACTCTGTTTCCGTGTGAGTGCTCTGTGTGTTCCCAAGTGTACTCTGTTTCCGTGTGTGTGTTCTGTGTGTTCCCAAGTGTACTCTGTTTCCTTGTGAGTGTTCTGTGTGTTCCCAAGTGTATTCTGTTTCCTTGTGTGTGTTCCAAAGTGTATTCTGTTCCCTTGTTTGTGTTCTGTGTGTTCCCAAGTGTATTCTGTTCCCTTGTTTGTGTTCTATGTACCGGTGTGTGTTTTCCCAAAAGTACTCTGTTCCCTTATGTATGTTCTGTGCCCCGGTGTGTGTGTTCTCAAGTGTACTCTGTTCCCTTGTGTGTGTTCTCTGTCTCGATGTGTGTGTGTTCCCATGTGTATTCTGTTCCCTTGTGAGTGTTCTATGTACCGGTGTGTGTGTTCCCAAAGGTACTCTGTTCCCGTGTGTGTGTTCTGTGCCCAGGTGTGTGTGTTCTCAAGTGTATTCTGTTTCCTTGTGTGTGTTCTCTGTCTCGATGTGTGTGTTCCCATGTGTACTCTGTTCCCTTGTGTGTATTCCGTGTGTCGCGGTGTGTGTGTTCCCAAGTGGAATTTGTTTCCTTGTGTGTGTTCTGTGTGTTCCCAAGTGTATCCTGTTCCCTTGTGTGTGTTCTCTGTGTTCCCAAGTGTACTCTGTTTCCTTGTTTGTGTTCTGTGTGTTCCCGAGTGTCTTCTGTTCCCTTGTGTGTGTTCTGTGTGTTCCCAAGTGTACTCTGTTTCCTTGTGTGTGTTCTGTGTGTTCCCAAGTGTATTATGTTCCCTTGTGAGTGTTCTATGTACCGGTGTGTGTGTTCCCAACGGCACTCTATTCCCTTATGTGTGTTCTGTGCCCCGGTGTGTGTGTTCTGTCTCGATGTGTGTGTTCCCAGGTGTATTCTGTTCCCTTGTGTGTGTTCTGTGTCCCGATGTGTTTGTGTGTGTTCCCAAGTGTATTCTGTTCCCTTGTGTGTGTTCTGTGTCCGGTTTGTATTCTATATGTTCCCATGTACGTTTTATGTGTTCCCAGGTGCGTCTGTACCCAAGGTGTGTTCTGTCCTTTGAGCACTCGTACTGATTAATATTCATTATATTTGTCGGTAGCGGGGTGTACGGGATTTTGCAACACTCGTCTCGTGGTCACACATGTAACACATACTACATGCCTAAAGACATTAAGAGTGCAGGTGAATCCCCTTCCACACACAGATACTTATTCTCACACAGTATATCTTGCGCGTTGTTCCTGGAAATTTACAACTCACGAAAGAAACGCATTTTCCTCGTCACAGGTTGGTCTCAATGACTCTGAAAGATACCGTACCAGGAAGCCCATGGTAGGAAAACACACGCCTGAATCGATACTAAAAGTAAAGACAAAAAACATTGCCAAAAGTTCAGAAGCGAGACGTTATTGGTTTGGTCAGGCACAGGAGACGGGGTGGTTTACCGTTAGTTTATAGGTAGTTTACTCGCCTCTTACCTCATACAGCCTGGGTACCTTCTAGACACAATACTGGTTACATATGTACGTACAGAAAATGGCATTGAACTTACAATGGGGACACGAGTATTCATTTCAGAATGCAAGAGGTTGTAAGTGTATACTAATCCTATTTTGCCCTGCTGAACATTGACTTAATACACGTGAGAATAGACAAATGCACACATTCCCGCGGTAAACACTGAACACCGCATTATTTCAGAAAGAACGTGTGGATGTTTTATTATATATTATCTCACCACTGATGTTTCTAATTTAGGTGGAGATGAGCGACACCAGGAAGAGGAGGGCTGATTCAAGGGGTAGGTTGACAAATAGTGCTAACAACCATATTATACTGTCAGTGTAGCTTCACGTCCGTTAGCGTAACAACATGATAACAACATCATATATATGACACAGGGAGAACAAACTTCATGCGTGGGTACAGAATATTTTAGGAATATTCAATAGCGTTTCTTGTGTAAGAATAATCTCGTATTGTGTTTCTGGTCAGTTCACTGGCAGTCATGGAACACAGTGCTTCTTGTACTATGCATGAACTTCATATTTTACTCGTGGTAATAATACACATACAGGAAGATATAAAGACGAAAACCCAGAAGGACGATAATGTAAATATTGTACAAATTTTGTATCGGGCGAAAATGAATACTATTTGTTGTTAGTATATTGTCAACAATATTCACAATTACGAACTCGCTTTCTTGATTACGCTGTGAAACTTAAAATGGCACGCCGCATGTAATTTTTGTCAGGTTATATGTTAATATTCTTTTATAATTAAAAAATGTGTTTTTATGCATATGTGCCTGTGGCCTTAGAACTCATTATTAACTTATAACCTGACTTAAGTAGACATAGATACATGATGGACATTTACGTTAATAAAATACATTTCCTTTATTGTCACATATACCACTTAAATGTAGATGGTGTATTAAATAAATATAATATAATTGAGTGTTGATATTTGTTTTATTCGTCATCAGTTTTCACTGTTACTTTATGCTTATCCTTTTGGTAAGTTTATCAATTACCTCTTAATAAAGTGTTTACACGAATAACACGTGCCCGATCTTTGCCTATGATCGCCGAAATGAACGAAATATAATAATAATAATAATAATAATATTATTATTATTATTATTATTATTATTATTATTATTAAAAACCATACTCAGAAATCAGTGATACCTTTCTTGTGTATTTTCATATAATTAGTATCAACATAAATTCAAGTTTAAACAATCAGCTTTATCTATTTTCTGTGAATACTCTACTCCATTTTGGCAAGATCGAACATGATATATAGTCAGATAAGTTGCATCAGTGTCTGAATTTTGTACTTTCCACATGTAACATGTATAACTTTCTTTCTTGCCTCGAATAGCATCACCACCACCTAAGCGACCAAGACGTGAACCGCAGATTACTACAAGAAGCTCAGGACCAGTGACCCGCCCGAGATGCCGTGATTGTTCAGACGCCTGTAAAAAAGCAAAACGTCACATTAAAGAGAGCAACTTCTTGTGTATCGACATCCCCGTGTGTCTGTTGTATGAACGAATACCTAACACAAGCCAGGGAGTCATTCTCTCGAAGGAACAACGTGTGAACAAGAAGAAACAACTTCAGAGTGAGTTTCTTGAAAAGGCTTGTGGGCTCCGTAATTCCGGCGGGGGGATTCTCCTGGTGCACCTGGTCGGGCTGAGCAGCAGGGACAGACATCCTGGAAAACTTGACGAGTTCACTGACGACCTTCTGGTTAAATTGATCGACGACGGGACTCTCTTTGTGGACTGCTTCACGAAGCAGTGGCTGGACGAAAAAAAGGAACTTTCAGACTATTACGATTTCATTAGCATTACTGTGAGGCCAAAGAACCAAAGCGTAGTGACAGCTAACTTTATGACCAAGATCCCATTTGACTCCAAGATCGAGGACCCCCGGGCGAGTAATATCCACGGGTTACTGAGCACTCGTAAAACGTTCCGGCATAAGGCACCACTGGTACGTGGACGAGGAAGGAAGTACCGATTGTTACACGAATCCAGGAACGTACAACACAAGGCCTTCAAGGCGGAGAAGGGGAACGAAAAGAAGCTGCAATCACTACAAAGAGACATACCTGCGCTTGTGCAGTACATCTGGAAAGATCAAAGACTCCGTGAATATATCACTTCATTTTCCAAACTTGACAAAGGTGGCTCATATTTCTTTGGAGTCGCGGAAGAGAAGCGTGAATACGGACGCAAAAAATATGTTTCCATAAAGCTTGTTGACCATGGTATTAATTTGTCAAGACGAGATTTAAAAGCTCTTAAGCACAACTTGATAGAGAAGGTACAGTCAGATATTTTGTGTTGTTCGTACGACGGGGAGACATTGAATATTGAAGCACATGATCTCGTCGTCATTGACCATCATCTCACGAAAGACAAAAACTACGTTATCGAAGTAGCCGTTGGTGCCGTAGAGGGGCTGGTCTTCTATGATGCACGGGGGCCCAGCTCCTTTGCGATCAAAGAAGGGGAATTAAAGCGGATTACATGTTGTGAATGGTTTAACACCTTCAAAGCACAAGGTTAACTCTCGCAGTTCTGATACCAACCACTGAAACAGGCAACGGTAGGGGTACACGACATGGTTTCTCAATGTTTATTATACAATGTAAATACAAGTGGGATTCCGGGCTGTGATAAGTCCAAGATGACGATCAGGTGGTTAAATATGGCCCGGCTCGTTGCGTATTATCATGTTCTGATGGCATTGATAGCTGCTCATGCTATCAACCACCGATGTAAATTAACCAAACTATTTGCGACAGCCGTGTTAAAGCTTAAATATTGCTGACTAGCGTAAAACTACATTCAACCATAGATTTCGAAAATGCTCGATTGCTGTGGTCAATCAGAGTTAAAATCACAATAACCGCCTCTGATTGAAACAGCTGATTTGTCTGTTGCAAGTCTTATTGACAACATAACAGTTGTAACATGTGGCACGAAGTATCAGTAGACCATGGTGATCACGGCGAGGTTGTCGCTTAAACCTGCAATACACTCACTTACCTATGAATCTGTCTGTTTTCTTCCCAAAATGAATTTCCATACCAGTTTGAGTACTCTTGCTTCGTTTTTGTACCTTTTTTGACAGAAAGAGAATTTCTTTTCCCTGAGTATTAGATTCCATTAATCATTTAAATTTGTCATATCAGAATGAGGATATACATTTTTTAACGTACTGCCAAGTTACCTAAAGATTGTTAGATCTATTTTCCAGACAATGAATGTCAAGACCGGAAACATTTCAAAACGGGGACGCCACCATCGGAAAGGAATAGTTTCTTTAAAAGGTTAGTTAACACCTTTTTATGATGAATCTATGGGTTTCTTCCAATTCTAATTTATATAAAAGGAATGATAACGTCGCTAATGTAAAAGAATTTGTAAAAACTGAAACATTTATTTTAAAAAGTCTGAAAATTCGTTATTATTATGTTCATGAGTGTACATATATCCAACGGGCGGGTATTATTCTCTTCAGAAACCAATGCATGCCTTAAAAGGTGACTATGCTTGTCGTAAGAGACGACTAACGGGATCGGGTGGTCAGGCTCGCTGACTTGATTGATGCATGTCATCATGTCCCAATTGCGTGGATAGATGCTCATGTTGTCAATCATTGGATTGTCTGGTCCAGACTACTAGATTATTTACAGACCGCCGTCGTAAAGCTGGAATATTGCTGGGTGCAGCCAGACTCGATTATTTACAGACTGCCGTCATAAAGCTGGAATATTGTTGAGTGCGGCGTTTAACAACAGACAGACAGACAAACAAACAAACAAACAAAACAGTGTGGGTAAAACTTCTTATTATACACCAGGATATACACCTGGCCTGTGTTCTTGATCGCAAATGTTTTGTATTTGAATGTAGAAAAACTGAAGAGGCAGGTCGGAAATGTGGTCAAGCTACCAAGTGGGAACATATTCGCTAAACCAGCGAAGCAACTGGGCAACTCTCTTGATGACATTCATGTCTTACTTACAAAAGGTAGATATAACAAGAAGAAGGTTCAATGCTACAATCCCCAATTACGAAGCCCTTGTTTCAGCAACCAATGATTAAAGCGCTCAACCAAAAAGCTATCAATTGATTTTGTAAATTCTTTATTCTCAAGTATGACATTTATTTGAAATGATCGGTTTCAAGTGTACACAATTGTGAACCAGCTTTTATTTATTTAATTTCAGATAAGCTTGGGATACACGCTTACCCTTCGTACATGGCGGAGCTGGTTAAAAGGCACACTGATTTAGAGAACATAATCAAAGAGACGTTCCCCTCTGGAAAGGGTGGATTAGTCTATCTCGCAAGATCACTAGGGGTGTCACTTGACCTCGATGTTCGAATGAAACAGCCTGCTGACGTCATGTTTGACGTATGCGTCATCCTGCCACGTGGCGCTCCGATAGTGTTGAGTGTCATCCAAGAAGATTCCAAGAAGAGAAACGCGATCTCCAGGTACAACATTTATGTCACCAAAGCGCTTATCAGAGCAGTGCGCAAGTTCACAAATGAGAACTTTAATGCCCTATATGGAGTTGTCACATACGGTGATATATCATCAGCAGAAAGGTTTGCGAAAGCATATGTGACCATTGAAAAAGAGTCGTCTTGTTTCTGTATCCCGGAATCGCTGTCAATGTCGGATGTGAAATACGTCAGCATCACCAAAGCGTTCTCTGCCGTGGCGTCCTCTACGAAGGTGGTCCAGATGTTGAGCTCTGACAAAAGCCACAGTGACATGACCCAGACGTGGCTACTGACGCAAGAACAGTTTGTTGCGCTGTCAGAAAACATTGATAAGGATGTTGTGACCGTGAAAGCTGACTCGGGAACAGGTGCCACCACTCTGATGCTGGAGGTGGCCTCTCGCCTGAATAGGTCGGGCTTCACGCTGCTGGTCTGTTCATCGCCAGATCTCTGCAAGAATGTCAGGTTTGTTTGTTTGTTGTTTATCGCTTAACGCCACACTCAACAATATTCCAGCTATATGACGGCAGTCTGTAAATGATCGAGTCTGTACCAGAGAATCCAGTGATTGACATCATGAGCATCGATCCACGCAATTGGGATCGATGACATGCATCAACCAAGTCAGTGAGCCTGACGCCCGATCCTGTTAGTCGCCTCTTACGACAAGCATAGTCGCCTTTTACGGCAAGCATGGGTTGCTGAAGACCTTTTTGTGTAAGAGATACAACCCTTTGCATTTAAACCAAGTCCTTTTCACATTGAGATACACGATGGTCATTTTCTTCATTGTAAACATAAATTTGTGCAATTCTGAACATGTTTAAGATAATATTTTAACGTTGTCATGTAATGGGTAGGTTTCTCAACTGATTAATGCCAATGGATATGAACGGTATCCTTTGGGGTAATTTACGGTTAAATATGCAAATATAAAAGGTCAGGTACTATTTTCAGTGTTTAAGAACAAACATGTCGTCGACCTTAGCTGTCGTTGATTGAGTCAGAATTAACCATCGGGGATCAGGACATATTACGGGAATAATTGTTATCATAATCAAAATAATAGTCAAAGATACCGAGAATCAGTGTATAAAGAAGTGGTAGCTGGGGCTTTTTACAAGTGAAGGCAAATTCAACATAAGTTGCGAAGTAATCTTAGTGAGGACGCTATAGCAGGGCTCAATTTCCATATCTGTGCCTGCAGACCCCTGCGGCTTTGGGTCGATATTAGGAATTTATATAAGATTTGACAGAAAAGTTTGAGGTTGTTTTGTTATTTCGCTGTGTGGGACATCTTACTGCCGTTCGTAAGGTTATATGACAGGCCAGACAAGACTCTAGACAAACCTAAAATAGAGTAGCTTCCGTAAGGATAACAACTCCAGCGAGTTAGGCGATCACTGACATTGAAAGATTACGTGTAGGCAGTTGTCTTTTTGTCTATATGATAGTTACGCCTCTGTTTATAGATCAAGTTACAGTTTGAATTGGGGTGACTGTCGTAACTGTCCGTCTGACAAATATCCCTGAACTTGTTACGTAATACATAAATGCGCACATTCCAGTAACACTTACAATGTTTAGGTATCTTTTGTCTAAGATGAGAATACTATTTTCGAGGATAGCATTTAAGAATGACATTGTAGGTTAACACGCCTGTGAGCATTGGGATATTTTAGAAATAACCACTATGTATTAAGCTCAAATAGTTAAATGCAATGTTTATTCATAATGCAGGATGGGGCGGTAGGGTAGCCTAGTGGTTAAAGCGTTCGCTCGTCACACCGAAGACCTGGGTTCGAGTCCGCACATGGGTGCAATGTGTGAAGCCCATTTCTGGTGTCCCCCGCCGTGATATTGCTGGAATATTGCTAAAAGCGGCGTAAAACCATACTCAAACACTCCTAATACAGGACATGATTACCTAACCAAAACTCGCATGATAACCTATGAGTGCATAAAGGTCGTATGGGGGGTTCCCTTACAATGTCTCTTAATATACTGAACAACAAAAGTTCCATGTGACATTGAATAAGATTTAATGCAAAGTTATGTTTTTTACCAAATCTGAAACAATTTCGGTTTGCAACAGATAAAAGACTCCTGTAAGTGTTCAAATGGTTTAATTTGCCATGCTGACTTCAGAAAATGCGTGATTATCATTAAAAAAACATGAACAAATCAATAGCGTGTGTGTCCACCTCTGGTTGCGAGGCAAGCAACACATCTTCGTCTCACGGAATGGACCAGGCGTCGCACAAAGTTCTGTGGGATATCTGTCCATATCTGCTGGAGCATGTTTCGAAGTTCCTGGAGTGTCTTGGAACACGTGGTTGATGTCGAAGGCGCCGATCCATCTCATCCCACATGTGCTCGATTGGTGAGAGATCAGGGGAGCGAGCCGGCCAGAGGATGGCATTCACGTTGTTATTTTGAAGAGAATCATAAACAAGTCGAGCAATATGAGGCCGGGCGTTGTCATGTTGAAAGGTAATGCCTGGGCCATGACGACGCAAAAACGGTAGAACAACAGGGCCGACGATCTCGTCGCGGTAGCGCTGTCCATTGGGATTTCCCTCTACAACTATCAAACGGGTCCTCTGTCTTGCTGTAATCCCACCCCATACCATAACGCTGCCGCCCCCGAACCGTCACCTCGACGTCGGTACTCTCCAATCCGTCCATCGCTGGTGAAAACGAGACTCGTCAGTGAAAAGAACTTGTCCCAACTGCATGGCCGTCCAGCGTAGACGCTGTCTACACCACTGTAGACGTGCTTGGCGGCGGTTTCCTGTCAAAATGGGACGTCTCGCGGGTCTTCTGGCGACAATCCCTGCACATCTGAGGCGGCCACTCCGAGGATGGTCTCTGACTGCATTCGTCTGTTGCCAACGTTGCCATAAACACCAAATGGTGTTTCTTTTGACGTTAAATTGTCTTGCAACATCACGTTGACTCGATCCTGCTTCAAGCATACCAATGGCTTTTAGACGTTCATTTTCGGACTGGCGTGGAATCTAGTAATGTTGAATAATTGCGTAATTTTGTTGTTTTGTGGTTGTTGTCAGCACGATGCTAAACAATGCACATGGAATCCCGTTAACGCACATGTTTTTATACCCATTCTGTGGTAGTGAAATGTATGGGGCTTGCATAAAAGACAACTTCTCCATGGAATGCATGCTTTTCTGTAGCAGTTGCGTTTTTGTGACTTGATTCCATATATGTACTACAATATTGAAAACCAAACTTTACTTGTTTGAAAAATACACTAAAATATTGGTGTCACGGGAACTTTTGTTGTTGAGTATATTAAGACATTTTTACTTTTGTGTCAAGAAATATGAAAGACGTATAATTATCCTTGTGGTCAGACTGACAATGTCGCTTGCGTGTAGGAAATTGAAAACGAAATTAGGAGTTTCGATGAATTTCACAAGAAGTATATCAGGACTGTGTGTTTCTCCTTTCAGGAAGCAAAAGTTGTGTTCGCGTGTGATGGTCGCTGACGCCTTCTGCAAATACATGAAACAGCACAACACCCTGCCTGCACATGTGAAACATGTGGTCTGTGAGGGAAGCTGGTCACCCAGGTTTGCGTACAGCGGACATGTATGGTGCTTCCTCGGCAAGAGAGGTTTGGGATATATAGAGGTTGTTACAGTATGTGTTTGCCATACTGCGTTTACAACACGAGGGTCAGAATTATTGTATTTCCCGAAAGGACGAAATTACAATGAAAGCCCTTTAGAACGGACTTTTTCTGTTGATACGAGGGGCGTTCAATAAGTTTTGCAACTTCAATCTAAGACCAAGTCGCAGAATATCCTTTTCACTTTTATTTTTCAATATAATCTCCATTCACCTCAAAACACTTTTTCCATTTGTCCTCCAAGCTTTTAATACCACTTTTATAGAAATCCGCAGATTGGCCCTCTAACCACGCCTCAGTGGCAGCCTTTATGTCCTCGTCATCCTGGAAGCGTCTTCCACGTAGGGCAGATTTAATTTGCCGGAACAGGAAATAGTCACTGGGGGCTTATTCTGGGCTGTAGGGTGGGTGATTTAACTGTTCGAATCCACATTCACATATGGCGGCCTGTGAACCGGAGCGTTGTCATGCAAAAGTAGAATACCACGTGTTCTGGCGAATACATTTTCGCAATTCTTTCATTACATTAGCATACTGTCCATTGATTGTAGTTTTTGGTGGCATGTAATCAATCAGTAATATGCCTCTTAAATCCCAAAATATGGTGGCCATTTAGCTTGCCAGCCGATGGTTGAGTGCAAGACTTCCTTGGAGGCGGAGAATGGGGGTGCTTCCATTGCATGGATTCCAATTTAGTTTCTGGGTCCCAGTGGTGGATCCATGTTTCATCACCTGTCACTAGACGAGAAAGAAATCCGGCTTCATCAGCAGTATAGAGATCCAGGAGTTCTCCACAACTCTCAGCTCCCTGGTGGCGGTCTTGAGCTCTGGGGTTTCTAGGTACCCACCTTGCAGATACCTTGGACATACCAAGATGCTCATATATTATCATAACTTATATTTGGAATTCCCTAGAAAGTTCAGATACTTTCACTCGTCAGTCAGACAAAACTCTTCTTTCTGTAGCAGCAATGGCATCTGAAGGCCTGTCTGACCTTGGGACTCCCTACCCCTTTTAAACTCAGACAAACGGCAAATTGTGGAATATTCAGGAGCATCCTTACCCATCACTTCACACATGCGATCATGGATTTCTTTTGCTTTGCACCCCTCCTTGGTAAGGAACTTTATTACAGCGCGTTGTTCATGTTTGAGAGAATCCATGATTGTGATCACCCTCAGGTGAATGAAGCCATCACATCTAACTTCCTGTTGTGACTGGAACTTGTTATGACACGTGTCAACCTGATGTGTAGTGTCACGCCTGCCACAAGTTTACATTGTTTGTGTAAACACAAATGCCCAAGGAGCAAAACTTATTGAACGCCCCTCGTACCTTGGAATAAACGTACATGTACCTGTACAAATGGACTACTCCTATCCTTGATTCGTTAATTATGAAATTATAAGCAGTTTGATGATGGTACAATTCCCAATGTCAGATTTGCAATGTTCTACTTCTCGGACAGGTATCTTAAATACAATCACTAATCCTTTTCACAAAGCAAATTATAGAGTGTGGGTTGTTAAGTGACACACATTCCTGTGACTGTGATTCCTATTAGACATTTTATTGTACAAAGAATCTGACTCTCGTTTCGCACAAAGCATTACGAAGAACACATTCATGTACTAATCTCTGTAAGTAATATGGATAACCATAACTACGTTATTTACACTTACTAGATAACATAGCTGTCGTTAAGAAAGTGAGAGGGCGGTCGGGTAGCCTAATGGTTAAAGCGTTCGCTCGTCACGCCGAAGACCTCGGTTCGATTCACGACATGGGTACAATATGTGAAGCCCATTTCTGGTGTCCCCCGCCGTAATATTGCTGGAATATTGCTAAAAGCGGCGTAAAACCATGCTTATTCACTAAAGAGTGTGTGCGTGCGTGCGTGCGTGCGTGCGTGCGTGCGTGCGTGCGTGCGCGCTAGTCCGGACTAATGCAGAATTTATAGAGCTAGCGGCAGTCTAACATGAATACCCCACTCAGACACAGTATACTGATTCCGAGCCGATCAGTCCTTAATGCCGAGCGCCAGGTAGGGTAACAACAAGTAACATCTTTTAACGTCTTTTGGTTTGACACGGCCATGGATCGAACCAAAAGAGAGACGTTCAGGTGGCCTGGTGACTTGGCTGGTTGCATGTCGTCGTGTCCTGTTAACGTGTACGTTACATATGCTTACAATCACTGGAATGTCTGGTCAGGATCGTTTACAGAAAGCCGTGATATGGTTGGAATATTGTTAATCTCTTGCCTTAAACAACATTCGCTCGTTGTAACGATACTATTCTTATCCCCTTTGAAAATGGTGGATCCGCCCTTGAAATGCCACATGATGCACCAGATCTGTGTATGTCTATTGATACAAATGCGAAGCTTTATTCTTACAGAATCCGGGAAAGAAAAGCTGTCGGTTCAGGATTGTGCCTCCCCGGAAACACCGCCATATTCACCCGACATGCCGTGTTGAACACTTGAGATTCTGAACTGAACATGTTACGCAAGGCCTTAGCATCAGTCTCATACAGAGACTAGACGTCTGAACATAGGGACACTTGGCAATAATCACTGTGTGCAAATAACATCCACATATCAAGATACATTCAGTGCGATTACACATCAGAGATCATTGTAGTATTAATGTGCCATACGATTCACAAAACTACATAACCTGAACGTGCCATCATGAAAGGCCAAGTATGGCTTTGAAGCTTTGTATACAAATAATTATAGCTAAAATGGATAGAATTATCATTAAACCGCCCGCACGTTATCAGAAATGAGCGGGCCACTGTAACTTGATAATGCCCTCATAATGCTTGACGACGGGCCATTATCAAGCCCTATTTTTCAGGGCATTATCCTTCGTCGGGCAGTTAATGGAAAACCTCGGGCTTCTGCAAATGATAATGCCCTGAAAAATAGCGTTATCCTTATATTAACGTTGTGTTGTGTTAACTAATCGACTTCTGAAGATTTCAACTTCATGTCCACATTTCGCTAAACATAATAGCTAAAATGGATAGAATTATCATTAAACCGCCCGCATGTTATCAAAAATGAGCGGGCCACTGTAACTTGATAACGCCCTCATATTGCTTGACGACGGGCCATTATCACGCCCGTTGTTAGGTGACGTTATAGGATAGGGATAGGTGACGTCACGTTCAATAATGACGTCATCTAGTTTGTTCTATGACGTTTCCATATTTGTAAAAGTGGGTCAGTCACATTCGTGTTGATTGCAATAAATGTTTCAAAACGTCGGGCAGTTAATGGAAGACCTCGGGCTTCTGCAAATGATAATGCCCTGAAAAATAGCGTTACCCTTATATTTTAACGCAACTCATAGAAACTGCAGCAGCACGTATAATGCCCGGAATGCCCAGAGCAGCTTTTGGAGTACTACTTATCACTGAATTGGATGTTCTCTTATTGCGAACATAGGAACCGACAGGTTTTTTTTAAATATAAATCGCCGAGCACCGCAGGGTTCAGGGCAATGGGGACATGTATAATGGACAACTAACTTTCTTGATAGTGGATCATATTAGCCGTGAAGGCAGATTTGTGTTTAGTCTTAATGTTGGATTGCGCACCAGCAATTGTAAATGTGGAAATTGTCTCAGGCAATTACTATAGTAATCAAGCTGCATGGTATCAAGTATTTGTGTTCGATGACTCTTTTTACTTGAAGATAGTTGCTAATTCGATACCAGCGATTGAAAACTACCAATCGGTTGAAGTCTTTTTGTGGACGCCATGGTATTTTGCTTTAAGATTGTTTTAGATTATTGTCATGTAGCTGAAGTTCGTTAAAAAGGTCAAATGAAAGCGTTAACATAACTCAGTGTTGCCCCTTACTGCTTCCGCGAGTGAAATGTAGAATGCGTGGACGCAGTCCTTTCATTGTATCATATATGGTAATTATATATTATCCATATGTCTCATTTGCCCTTGGTACTTATGTACTTTTTCAGCTATTGGGAAATTATTTGCACCTATTCTTACAAAGAATATTTACATCTGTTATTTAATGTTTATTGACATAGTTCTTTATTTTTTTTAAATATTTTGTGATTTTGTTGCACAATACTCCGTGTTCGGACTTGTCAGGTGAAGATAGTTTCTATTTAGTTCATCTTTACGTAAAGTTGACCTTGTTTGGTGCATAGAACATGTAGTCTGAAAAGGAGATTATCAACAAATGGTGAAGGTTGGTCGCGTTTAGCTTCTTTGCTTATTCACATATATTGTGCAACACCATGCTATTCTTGATGAAGGTGAAATGTTTCTTGTGTCAAGTGTATAAGGACAATAATATTATTTTGTGGTTGGTCGGTAGAAAGGAAACAAATGAATATAAATACAGCTGATTTTAGTAAATATATACCTCTAATCACTTATTTTCTGTTGATGAAATTATGTGCAAACGATTTGGTTCACAATTCGAAGAGTTTACCTCAAAACATTTCCAAAAGCGTTTGCGCTAAAAGAATCAATGGCAGCCTAATTGTATGATACTCGTCGTGCAATGGTTATTCTATCGGCGATGAAAGCTTGAGTGAGTTAGGTTTGTGACCGCTTTGAACAGTGTTCCAGGTATATCACGGCGTTCAGCTCAATGTGAGGGGAAAGCCCGAAGTGATGAAGCTGTGAGACATAAACTACTTTGGTGAAACCCACAAGCACGGATATGGTGCTGATAAGCCCACAAGCATAATCGGGGCGAACCGGGATTCGAACCCACAATCACAGGTTTGTGGCGTGCCCAAGATAACTCTCCACTGCAAATAGCGGATATGGAAAAGGGTCGTACAGGTGACCTTGTATTTTATTCGTATCAGCTTAAACTGGCTTCCACGGGAGATGTGGTGAGATCAACGAAATTGCATCACTGTGGTTTTTAGGCAATACCCCTTTGAGCTCTTGGAACCAGAGACACTTGCTAGTTTGTTTCCTTGTACAATGATTTTACTTGACTATATTCGGTACTATATTTCCGGGAGTACATATACATATTAAGGGTACTTTTGATGGGCGAATTAGGATTATAGTTACACTGTTTCAACAGTGTCTTAAGAATATATCCATATTGCTCAATCACTGACTTTGGACTATGTTCATCTTACCATTCTGTAGTTGTTGAATATATATATGTCCTTCCATATAAATATTTAAGACTATTATCTTTCATGTCATCATCATGGTCAGTTTGTTAAAAATATAGCCGTATAAAAAAAGTTCTATGTTGTGTGTTATATCTTTGTTTTATAAAACTTATATCCCATGAATTGTTCTATACAATATTTGATTCCAAAATAAGCCATTTTGGAGACCTGAGATTGTCATTTGTAAAGCAATTAACATCAACTCATGTGGTAAGAGGTGAATGTGTAAGGTACCCAATGTTTGTACAGTCGAACCTCGTTGTGGAACTCGTGGAGACCTGGAAAAAAGTTCGAGTTATCCGGGGTTCAAGACATCAGGGGATTTTTTGCTCTATTTGAATACTCGTATTCCGAAATGAGTTCGACACAACGAGATCCGAGTATATGCTTTCAAACTTCTGATCAAATATTGGTATAAGATACCAAGATGTCAGAATCTAGATTGGTAAAGAAGTGTTATAATTTCTCATCCTAGGAAGATTAAATGAACATCGAAAGTTAAACGTATCTCATTCTTTCGGTTACGGTTAGGTTTAGGAACAGCAACAAATAAGTAATTTTAATAACTTCATGTCTGAATTTACTCTTCGATTAAAATCATCATATGCGCAAAATTAATGCAGCTGTAACATGAAGTTCAAAATCAATTATATATTTTTCATTCAAAATATAGTTTGGCTTTGAACTCTTTTTGCAAAAAGTATCCATTTGTAATATAGGACTACACTTACTCAGTTGAGATGCTGTTTCCATCAGCTTTGACTGGACGATACAAAAAGGAATTAAAACATAAGTTTGCAAACAAAATATTGTTGAAGATACAGATGTTCACCAACATCTACGATGTAAATATATTCCACACAAATACCGTCTTCTCCTCGCATTACATAGGTTTGATATGTTGATATCATCAACTAATGTATCCATTATACACAATTTCATCTTCCCGAGGCAAGAGAGTTTACTGACTATAATAGTCCAGTTTCCACCCTTGCCGAACTAGGCTGGTATTATGGAGTTACAATTTGGCTGGGCTAACGAGTCTATGCATAGTCCAATCAAACTCGCGCACCGAAATCGATATCCGGTTTGTAAAATGTTGTGCAGATTTGTGTCAATTGCAGGATTTGCAAAGCATGTGCAGCGCCAACTCGTTGTCAACAGATATTTTCCAAGTCTTTTCATGTTTTTAATCAAGGTGCTCACGTGATTTGATGCACTTCGCTATTTAAGACCCGTTTTATCACAATATAGATCTTGATTACCAATCAGATCGTTTTGACTAGGCGCCACCATTTTGTTTGAGACAAATGCAAGTGATACGAGAGGTGGAATCTGATTGGTCCATAGGTCCAACATAACTCGTAATAACCACTGGTGGCGCTACGGTCGAGCCCAGGAATTCCAGCCTAGTTCGGCAAGGGTGGAAACTAGACTTTTATAGTCAGTTAACTCCCTTGCCTCGGGAAGATGACACAATTTAGCTATTTACACTTATAAAGCAATGCGTTTACGCCTTTTGAGTGTTTCTGTTCTCTCTCATGTAACTCTGTAATGTAGGATTGTCATGTGGTTTTCGCAACGAAATGAATACAGATTGATAGATAGAAATATATATCACCAACTAGCAAGCTCTGTTCACACAGCTCATCGCTGTTTTGTAATATGATTAACATAATTATGAAGGTGCAATCAAAGGTTCAGTGATTGTAGTGAGTATGGTTTTACGCCGCTTTTAGCAATATTCCAGCAATATCACGGCGGGGGACACCAGAAATGGGCTTCACACATTGTACTCATGTCCGGATTTTCGAACCCGGTTCTTCGGTGTGACGAGCGAACGCTTTAACCACCAGGCTACCCGACCGCCCCTCAATGATTGTAACACCACAAAGATGTACCAAAGACCTTTTTGCAAATACCAGTTAATAATATTATTATTACATATATTATTAAATTGTTGCATACATAGAGAAATATATCTATGTTTGTGTTTCTACATACCAATTACCTGCCACTGTATGTACTACAGCATATTTCTATTATGTAGATACTTTAACACCTGAAGCTGGATTCCGTAATGTCGATACGTTTCATACTTACATCTCTTATTCATGGTTTTCATTTCTTATTTTACAGTGGACTATATATTATTTAAATGTTTTTTGGATGTTATAAAAGAGCAACCATTATTGATGTATGTAGTCTTGGTAACTGAAATGAGTCGAACTTTGCCAATCACCATCTTCACCTACTGTAAGAGACAGACTATTTAACATTCTGGGGCTGGCAGTCGGGTCGGGGAGCAGGCTTTTTGGTTGAGACAGAATACCTTTTTCAGTCAAAGCTTAAAAACAAACAATTTTATTTTCACAAACTAGCATGCCCAAAGCAAAATTAAATATTTTGGGAAAACACGAGGACAAATTATTGTTTTCCTGCATTTTTGGGGGACAGATTATTTTTTTAAAACTAGAATCCCCCACCTGGAATATCAAATGGTCAGCCCCTGAACTGACAATATATTAGGGAGCCGTAAAAGGACGCCCCGTATTACTATAATGTTAAACATGAAAAAAAATTCGGAAAATTTCCAGGGATGCACATACTTA